AACTAAATAGTACGGTCGGTTACCGGTACAACTATTTAGATGCTGTCTGATTTCAGCTACGAAAAGCTGTACCCATGCAGGATAATATATTTTATACTACTCGTATCTCTGTGATTATAAGAGTTCGAAAGCTCAAGCCCTCAGCAATGATGGCACTTCGTGACTTCTTAAGTCCTGGAACTCTCAGAGGTGATGAGTTATAGTTTCTATTTTCGCTATACTCACACCTACATTCACACTTGTGTTAAAGTTTGTTTTTGTTTATAATGAGTGTTTTGTTTAATTTCGATATCTCTATTAGAAATGTTTTTTTTTCATATTAATGAGTTTAAATGACAACATGTATTTTACGAGAACAAAAAGAATGAATGATCGTTATCGTTCATTTAAATAATTCGATACATTGAACTAATAAACGATTTTGTTACGGTTGATTAATGATGCATTTCTTTCATTTTCTTTTTAATGTTTTATATGAATGAAAAAATTGGCGATTGTTTCTTCTAAACAAAACTACTTAATATATCTTTTCTTTTGTTTAAATACAAACCAATGATATCATGACAAAATTCAGGTAAAAAATCATAATATTTCTTGTGTTTATAACAAATAAATTTATTTTATTTAGCATAGAAACAATTTATAAAAATCCAAAATGGACCGGTCAAACAGTGACTAAGTATATAAAGAAAAAATACGTTTATATTATACAGCTTTTTTTAATTTTTCTACTATGAAGACTTGAACATCTTCAAAGTATTATTGATTTACGTCGACGTAAAAGTTATGAACAATCAAATTTCAAAAATGAAAGAAAATCAGATAATCAAAATGATTCACGTATTGTTATTAATGTTAGTGGTTTACGTTTTGAAACATATAAATCAACACTTGAACGTTATCCAAATACATTACTTGGAAATATTCAACGTCGATCATGTTTTTATGATAAAAAAAATGATGAATTTTTTTTTGATCGACATCGATTATGTTTTGAAGCAATACTTTATTTTTATCAATCATCTGGACGTCTTCGTCGACCAGACAATGTTTCACTTGATACATTTTTAGAAGAAATAGCATTTTTTGATTTAGGTTTAGATGCACTTAAACAAGTACGAAAAGATGAAGATTTAGAAGAAGCAAAAAAAGTTAAATTACCACAAAATCGTTTTTGTCGTCAATTATGGGCAAATTTAGAATATCCACAATATTCAATGACAGCAAAAATTATTAATATATTTTCTATTATTTTTATATTATTATCTGCAACTGAACTTGCAATACAAACATTACCAAATTATCATGAAACGCATAATAATAAATGCAAATACGAAGGAGATGGTATGTAGAGAATTAGGGGACTAAATCACAGACAAGAGTATTCTGAGCTAGATGTGGTTGATTTAAATATGAAATGAAATCATAAGATTGTATGATATGACTGCGATCGCTTGATTGATTAATAATTTAAAAAAAGAGATTGGATAGCTTGTCGGTTATTCTACATATTTGTGAAATACAATTTGATTTTATGATAAACAACAGTGATAGAGTTCAATATGTAGCTATGTAAATAGTTTGAGTGATATTGCAGAAAATATCTAATTTACCATAAGAAATTAGTTCTATTGGACTTCATATTCGATGATTTTTTTGCCTATATATACTATATTCTAATTTAATAAAAACCCTAAAATGATTAGCGTGCTTATTGAGATTCGACTAAGCTATCGAATTTTTATGCTCTGTATGTTCTAGAAACAACAAGTTTTCGAAAAAATCGTTTTTCTTGAATTTCAATCGGAAACTTTGGGTATAGAGAGAACTCAACTAGACTAGCTTTCATAAAAATTATCCAGAAGTTTTAATCAAAGCCTCGTCGAAATATGAAACTTTCAAAAAATGCACGTCATATGTACTATGCACTAGTCCCGATGTGAGGTCTTTATGTGTGTCGTGTTTTAGTTCAGAATTCGAAAATGCGGGTTTTCCGCAAGTCTAATGTTTCTAGAAAATACGCATATTAATAATTCGATAGCTTAATCAAATCTTAATAGGAACTCAAATGTTTTACAGTTTTTCATTAGAACACTGTAGTATCTACAAAGCAAAAAAAATCATCGATACCGGAAGCAGGCAGTTGAAGAGGTTCCTTCATAAGCAGAACAGAGCAAGCATAGGGTTTGGTCATTTTGCTAATGATTATTAATGATGGATTCAGAGATCGGTTCAAGTCTAGGATCACGCGGAACAAACAGAATTTTTTCCAGTATTCAGAATAGTTCCATCAGACTATAGAACTTACTTTCAGAGATTTTGAAAACTATGTTAAAGGAACTCTTTGTGGAGTTAGGGAGAGCTCAATCTATCATGAGTTCATTTCAAAGCTGTCAGATTGGTTTCGCTACTACTGACTGTTGATCAGATTGCTATATAGTTTTCCATCTTTAATATAAGTTTTTCATGTAAATTGTTATCAGTTATTCCATTTATGTCTCTCTTTTTATTTGTAAATCAATTAATAAGATTGATTGAAAACTTTTCGAATTCCTTCTATGATACCTTAAATGCATTTTTGTGAGACTCACATTTGACAAGTTTTCTTAGTTTCTATGTTCATACGATTCACACTTGTTATTTTTCTTTTTAGGCTTATTTATTGATAGTGACAGTAAAACAACTCGCCGTCTTTGTCCACCAAATTTTCAATCACCATTCTTTATAATTCAATCAATATGTATTGGTTTTTTTACCATAGAATTTCTTCTGCGTTTAATATCTTGTCCATCTTTTTTTGATTTTATTAAATCAATTCCAAATTGGGTCGATTTTTTTGCAATCGGTAAATTTAATATTCCTTTTTTTCTTCAAATAACTAATAATTTTTTTTTATATTCTTAATCTAGTTCCTTATTATATAACATTAGTCATTAGTCTTCTTGGTACTCATAAAGAAATACCTCGAGAAACTTATTTTTGTTTAATTATTTTACGTATAGTTCGGTTTCTACGCGTATTTAAACTTTATCGTATATTTCAACATATTAAATCATTACGTGTACTTGGTAGTACATTAAAAGAGTCAATACCTGACTTTATAATATTATTATCATTTTTAACATTAAGTGGTTTTCTATTTGGTGCAGCAATTTATTTTGCTGAAAATGATGTTAATAAAGATCTTTTTGATTCAATACCCAAAGCAACTTACTATGGTATTATTACATTAACTGCAGTCGGGTACAAATACAAAACGAAGATTTTTATAGGTTTTTAATTTTTCTTTTGTCTTTTAGATACGGCGATTTAGTTCCTATTACTGCACTTGGACGTAGTTTAGCATGTTTAGCTGCTATTTATGGTGTATCAGTTGTCTCAATGCTTGTTTCTGTACTTGTTGATCGATATCAACGAGTATATGCACGTAAACATTTTCTTGATGAAGAATATACAGAAAATACAGTTTTAAATGATTCACTTCGACGATCAATTAATAATGATAAATGTACAGAAAGTCAGATCGATATTGAAAAACAATTTGCTGCTATTCCTGAAGATTTTAATCACGTTGAACAAGAACAAGATAGTGATGAACCATCTGGTAAAGTTCGTTTTATTATTGGTTATTTATCTGATGATGATGCTGATAATGATAATGATAACATTGATGAAGATGAACATGAAATTATTCATAAAGTTGCTCACGAACTACTTCATTCAACATCAAATAGATATCGTTCAATGACCAGAAACAATGAACAATGATAATATATTCTTTTTGTTTGAACGTTATAAGTCAGATAAAAAAATTACTAGATTTTTTCCTTTCAATTAAATTGAATAAAAATTAATAGATATCGAATGTAATTCAAACGAATTTTATACGTGTATATAGAGAGACAGTGAAGAATGAAAAAGAAAAAATAAAATAATCTAGAATTAGCCTTTTTTTAATTCGCATTTTCTGTTTAATATTTTCATATTAGTAACACAAATGATTATTGAAAATGAAAAGAAATACGGCTGTATTGTACATCCATCGGCGGACCGACGCGGTGGCCAAGTGTGGCAATTGCCACACCAAAAAAGTTCCAAATAATCGATAATTGGACAAAAAACGTTGAGGAAAACGACTTTTCATGCGATTGCCACAGCAAAAAATTACTATTGCCACACCAAATATTTTGGTTCTGGCCCGCTACTGACTAGATACTAGTGACATCTAAAGTTTGTTTATCTTTTCCTCTATGAAAATTTTGAAAAAAATCTGAAAAATTTAAAGTTCTCTACTAATAATAGGAGAAAATGTGTAACAGATATATTTTTAAAATTTTTGCTCTGCATGAACAATTGCACTTAAGATGAAGGTTTCTTTGATTTTTACTGGTTGTTGGTACTTAACCAAGAATTACCATTCTCTTTTTCGCACTTAACTTTACAATAGTTTTTCAACATTCGCATGTTTTTCTCAATGGATGAATGCAGCTATGTTCTCTATCGCAACATTATTCTTTAGGAAACACTTTGAACAAATACATAGTTTCTCTTCGTAAATCAGCATCGTCGAACTAACCTATAAAACATTTATTTCTGATCCGATTTTAGACAAGTCAGTTGAAAAAAGAATCCCCAATTCTTTCGAATAATATGGTTTTAATTTTCATGCACTTCATTATTAATTTATCATTTTTAGTAGAACTAAATAATTATCTAACTGTTGAATATTCATTTCTTATTCCAAACTACGTTCTTTTTGCAATATTTCTGAATTTTATGTGTGATGCTTTAAGAGATCATATGAGTATTAGATGTAAAAAAAAGATATAAAAAAAGGTTTCATTTTATACTACGAAGTTTTTTATTGATAAAGAGAAAAAAAAATAACATCAAAATTTTATTGCAAGATCATTGCACTATACTTCGCTTCTATTTGTATTGAAGTTGCATTGTCTTTTCTTTTTATAGATCAATCGTCATCTTTTATATACTATTTGATAATGGCTTTCGGACAAAACTCGCGAGGCGGCGGTGGTAATCGTGGTCGTGGAGGTTTCAGAGGAGGTCGAGGAGGTGGTGGTGGTGGTGGCGGCGGACGAGGTAAGATGAATATTTCGAAATCAATCAAGACATTAGTATTGATGTTTTTATTTTAGGCCGTGGTGGTAGTGTAGGTTTTGGTAATCGTGGAGGTAATCGTGGTGGTAGTCGAGGTTTTAGCAATCGTGGAGGTAGTCGTGGTGGCAGTCGAGGTAGTAAATTTGGTGGTGGACAAGATCGAGGACGAGGCGGTGGAAGATTTTCAGAAACTAGTAAATTTTCATCTGTTTTATGTTACAAGTTAATTTATTTTTTTTAATCAATTATTTAGAACGTGAATTCATGACTGATAGTGTTTATGTTGGTCAATTACCTGCTGAAATTCAAGAAAGTGATTTAAAAAAACTTTTTCCAAAAGCAAAAAATGTACACCTTGCACCAGCTGAAGGAACTCGGCCTGGGTTTGTTCTTAGCTTTTTAAGGTTTTTGTTTTATTTCAATGATGTGTTATATTCTAGTCATGCTTTTCTTACATTTCCCGATGATTCCTCAGCAGCAGCAGCTGTTAAACAAGGTGCTACATTTAAAACTACACAACTTAAAGTAGCTTTTCAAAATAAACGTGCCGAACCACAAAAACGATCATTTGATGCAGATGATCAATCAGGTTTGTTTATTTTTCTGTTTTTTTCTATTCGAATGATAAGTTTTGGCTTTTTGTTTTGTCTAGGTCCTAAATCAAAAAAACTAAAAAGTGATGCATCTCCTGCTAAAGGATCAGCAAATAAAAATGGTGTAAAAGCTCAAAGTAAAAAAGCAGCTGCTTCTGATGATGATGAGGATGAAGACGAAGATGATGAAGATGAATCCGTATGTTTTAAATATTCTTTAAAAAATGTTAGAAATGATCGATAATATTCTCATTTATTTAGATGGTTTTTGAAGATGATGATGAAGACGATGACGATGACGATGATGATGAAGATGAAGAAGATGAAAAAAATTTAAAAAAAACAGTTGCAAAAATGGTTTCTGGAGGAAAATCAGTAAGTTCGAAAATATAATAATTACGAGAAAAAATTCAATCAATTTTTTTTTCCATAAGGATAAAGCTGCAGCAAAACCATCAGCTGGCAAAAATGTTGAAGAAGATGAAGATGATGATGATGACGATGATGATGATGATGATGATGATGACGACGACGATGATGATGATGACGATGATGTAAATAATCAATCTTTGTTTTGTAAAAAAACACATCGAGTTTTCTTTCAATAGGATGATGATGATGATGATGATGAAGAAGAAGAAGAAGAAAAATCATCTAAAAAAACTCCACCTACATCAGCCAAACAAGCAACACCAATTCCTGTTCAAAATAAGAACAAAGGCAAAGCAGAATTAACTAAACCAGGTGTTATCGATAATTCAGCTCAAAAAAAAAACAAGCCTACTGATCAAACAGTTTCAAGTAAAGCAACATCAGCTGAAACTCAAAAACGTACAATTGATGCTGTTGATAAATCAGGTATATCTATTTCCATATCAAGCATAGAATCTAATTATTTTCTGTTAGGTCCTCAAGCAAAAAAAGCAAAGAATGAAGCTCCAGTCACTGGTAAAAATGTTCCTGCAGGAAATAAAAATGGTTTGAAAGGCAAAGGAAAAAAACAAGAGGATGATGACGAGGATGATGATGACGACGATGAAGATGATGATGAAGTAAGAGTTTTCTACGAAAGAAAAGTTTAAATTAGAGATATTTTTCCGCTTTTTTTTTGTATTTGATAACCAGCGCATCCTACGCATTTCTCAATCGACTAGATTTCATCGGGTTCCATATTGTCAGGCCCGAAACTAATTTCACGAGCTCTAATGCAGGGTCCATTGTTTTCCCTATCTGAATGAGAAAAGTTTTCTTATTATGTAGATCACGATTTTAGATTTTTTTGTTTCTACTTATTTCTTTTTAGCTCGATTTCGATGAAGATGATGATGACGATGACGACGATGATGATGAAGAAGAAGAAGAGACACTTAAAAAACCTGTTGGAAAACCACTTGCAACTGGAAAACAAGTAAGTTTGATTAGTCGCTATTTCATAAGTTAAACTATCTAAATATTTAGGCTAAACCTGCTGCCAAGCCATCGGCTGCTGAAGACGATGATGAATCCGTAAGCATAATTAATCACACTCTGAATTGCATAATCATTACTATTCTTTTTTCAGGATGATGATGACGATGACGAAGATGATGATGACGACGACGATGATGATGATGAAGATGAAGAAGACCAAAAACCTACAAAAACGACAACCAAACCCATTCCGGTTTCGAAACAAGTAAGTACAACTAAGTAAATTCTTCGCTTATATAATGATTTCAATTTTCAGACTAAACCTGCTGCCAAACCATCGGCTGTTGAAGATGACGAAGATGATGTAAGTTGATAATTTTCTTTTTTCTTTTACTTAATATCTTTTTCCTATTATTTCTTCAATAACAGGACGATGACGACGACGTAAGTTAATATTTAAGTCTATTTTGAAACAAAAAAAAATTAAAATAAATTTTCTTTAGGATGATGAAGACGAAGATGAAGACGACGAGGATGATGATGATGATGAAGAATCTAAACCTACAGCACCACTTAAATCTGCTTTAAAACAAACATCATCAACTTCAACTCCATCAAAACAAAAAACATCGTCGACTCCGACTAAATCAGAAACTAAACCGGCACAAAAAACAAAACAAGAAACATCACCAGCAAATGCTAATAAATCACTTAATAAAACACAATTATTTATTAATTCAATAAAAGAAAGTGTTAGTGTATCTGAAATGAAAGAACTTTATCCAAAAGCAACATCAGTTAAAATGCAAAAACGTAAAGTTGGTCCAAATCATAAAGCTATTCAGTATGTTTTATTTATCTTTTGTCTTTTCATTTTTTTTTATACAAAAATTTGTTTTTTTTTGCTTAGATTTGCTTTTGTTTCATTTGCAAATGAAGCTGATTGTGCTGCAGCATTAAGTGCTCATACACAAATTGGTGGTGAAAAAGTAAATGTTTCCTATGCATTTGCACAAGGAGGTAAACAACAAGCAAAGACAAATAATGAATCAAATAAAAAACAAGAACAACAAGCAACTAATGCAAATAATAAACAAGAAAAAAATCAGAAAAAACAAACACCATCAAATGAAAAAACAAATAAAAAAGAAAAAACTAAAAGTGGTTTGTAGAAATGAGTTTCAATTTTTGTTTGTTTTTTTTTCTATTTAATAAATTTTTATTTTAGAAAAGCAACTTTCAACAAATGCAATCTATGTTGGTCAATTACCAGAACATGTTGTCGAAGATGATATAAAAAATCTCTTTCCAAAAGCAAACAAAATAGAATTATTTCCAGCTAAAGCAAAAAATAAAGGTGTACGACCTGGTTTTGCATTTGTGACATTTCCTGATGATAATTCAGCCGCTGCTGCTATTAAACATGGTCCAACATTAACACTTAAAAATACACAATTAAAAGTTGCTTATCAAACTAAACGAGCAACACCAACAGCTACTGAATAAGAAGAAGAATAAAAACACTGAATACAGAACTTGCCGTTTGTTTTCTTTTTGTTTTTCTTTCTTTTCGAGTATCGAATGGTTTTTTTTGTCTTGTTATAGTTAAATACTACATGATTGTTATCCGTTTGTTTTTTTATCTTCAATGATTGAAGGTGAATACACATGTAGACATTAACATTTTGTTTTTTGTTTTGTGTTCATTCAGCTATGCTCCTGTGTTTTTTTTTCTTATCTTCTATATTGAAGATATTTCATTGATAATGAAACATTAAAAAAAAAAAAAAAGAATTTTGAAATAAACATAAGCAGATAATGTTTATTGTTAAACAATGCTAAATGATTCTATGAGCATTTTCGAGTGATATTCGATTTGTATGCGAGTTCACAAAAGGCAACGTTTTTCTCGTTTGGGATGCCTACAGATCAGGAACCGGAACGATAAGCATGCAAAAAAAATGAAGATAAATATGACAGCTATTGAAAGACCCATAAAGGATGTGGGTGTGAATCAATATTTTATCCAGATTGCCTCTTCCAAATTGTTGATGTGAAACTCCGGAAAACTAACCCTGTCTTTAGAAAGACACTGCTCCTCCACCGGCACGCTAGATTCAATAGTAGTGTAGGTATGAGTGTTGGTCTTCTCTAAGCGTGCATCCAAACCCAATAACAAAATTTCAGTATTTCACATTGGCATCATTGATTATGAACTATATCAATAACTGTCGAATCAGAAATATAGAAAGATGTTTGTTTTTGATAACCAAATGACGAATGATTCAATGAACCACCTGGTCGATAAGCATAACTAGTTCTTGTACAAAATAACAAATTATAACGAAGAGACAATGATCATGAATATTTTTCATATAGGAAAGTCTTGAATTAATGCACTTTTTTGATCATATCAGTACCGTTTCCTATAAAGGAAAATATGTAACTATAATAGCAACAAACAACATATAATTAGGCATACAACGACTAGATACAAGAAAACGTAGGAAATAAGTGATATTACATGGAAGGAAGTTTACATTTGACAATCGATTCTTGCAACACCACGAATGAACATATTACTATCCAATTGTTTTTGAACCTAACAAATTCTTTTGTCAGTCAATATTAACTCTAAAAAACTAAATTGATATTCCCTTCAAGCATTTCTTGCTGGCATCGGATGAATTTGTCAAAGTATTCTCCAATAATACGGCAATACATCAATATTTAATGTTCACAATGCAAGAATTAGGCCAACAACTTTGACCTGACAACTCTGATTTGTCCAAAGAAAATATGTTGATGTTAATGGAAATAAATCTGATTTGAAAATAATCAGTATGTAATCAGCATTATATTGAGTTTTGTGATACAATTGAAAACTCCGTAATCCTTTCTGAGATTTTATTACTACAGTATCAATTAGAAATAAATTGATATTTATCACCGTAAATCATCGAAAGACGTTAAGGGTATTAAAAGGACTTCGAGCGGTGAGAAACTACCGAAAGCAATCAAAGATCACCAGTGATAAGTGATATCCAGATTTTCAATGATTTCGATTAATTTTGAGTTAATAGACATGAATTTTGTATTTTGATAGGTTAAAACGTGCATTGATTTTTTTCACGTAAGATCATGTATATATAAAGAGTTTCATAAAGAGTACATTCACAACTGTTGAAAAGTATTTAATTGATATTCTAAGATACCGAAGTGATGTATTGATATCTACTGTAGCATTTATGATACGCACACTAGAGTTCACCGACACCTGTCACACTGCTTAAGAAACTTTACCGAAGTACCGACTCATTGACACTAATTGGCAGTGAAACACTGATGAGCTGATTATGTCAAAGCATTTAGCTATTTTTTTTTCAATTTAAATAAGCAACGTAAACTATTACAATAAATACGTCTATGCTTTCAAAAAAAAACACAAAATGCGAATCATGAATTATTTTGGATGATCTTTCGAATTTTTCTGTCAATGAATCATAGTCAGTAAAAGTCAATGTCGTCAGTGATCAGTAAAGTGATTCTGTCACATCCTGGGCATGAATAATTGTATTCAGACAGTTTAGAAATCTGACTATCATTTTATTTATTCATGATTGTTATTAAGTATTAAAAAAAATCACAGATGACCAAAAGAAAGAAAAAAAGACAACAGTAAAGTTTAACAAAAAAGACAAGAAAAAAAACCAAAGAAAAATATGTATAAAATAAAGTCATCTGACCAAATGAGAAGGAAAAATGAGTCGACACTATTTTAATCTATCTTAACTTTGCCCGAACCAATTTGTTCCTATTGAACTATTAACAACTTGAGGTCGTTTTAATGCAAATGAAGTTGTTGGACGTGTATTAGCGGGTTCAATAGGTTTAAATGCTGAAGTATTTGTACTGATTGGAATTGTTCGTGGCGGAAGCAGATGATTTAAAAATGGTAATGAATGATGATATGATGTTGTTGATGATTCACCTTTTGATTGATGATCTTGTTGTTGAAATAAAGTAAAATCTGCATTTAAATTTTGATGATTTTCAAAGGAAAATGATGAAGGAAAAAAATTAAAAGCATCATTATCATCATGACTACCAGTTGCAACTGTTCGTAAAAGATTTACTGGTTCAAATAAAGATTGAGCAAATGGCGATCGAATATCTAAATAAAAGAAACAGTTTTTAGCACGAGTCTTGCGACATTAAAATATGGAACAAGATGTAGCTGCTGTTACTAACTATAAAGAGATTGTTGTATTGGAGCACATGGCTTCACTATTCTTTTACTTAATGATCTGGAAATGCAATAAGTTGTTCATATATTATAGCGAGACGTTATCAATATGCGGTCTATGATCCTATATCCTGAGATGAAACCGGTCTAGAATTCATACTGACTCTGGATGGACGATTTTTCATACGATATATTTGACACAGGTAACTTTCAACAAAATTTCATTAAACATCCTATGTGAGATGCTAAGGACAAAACAATTAATAAGACGCATCGATAACTACTGGTCTATCGACACGCCAGCCGAGCTGAAATTTTTACCGATGCCGATTCTATCTTGGCATACATCAGCAATGTCTGACAAGGTCTGTGAAGTGGCATAGGGTATTGCTAAGGCATCTGTCATGGTTTGCGTCGTTTCGATGGTTGTGTTTGTCATTGTCTGTGGAAGTTGAAAATTTCTATCTTAATTATTTCAGCACTTCTATTAGCTCGAGTTTTAGGAAATAATGAATACCAGTTTGTATTTGTTGTGAGATACGATTAAAAGGTGTTGAATGTCGATCTAAAAGAAAAACAAAAAAGTTAAAATTTCATTAAAATAAAATATAGATCAGACCTCGATCAAGATTCTTAAATGATGTTGTTGGTGGTTCACGAATTGGTTGAAAGTCTAAATGAATTCAATATATAATGTATTATAAAAAGAGAAAAGATGTGATTTACATTTTTCTCGATTATTGATTGGTTCTCTAGTAGTTGTATTTATAGGCGATGCTGGTAAATCATTAGATTCATGTGAAATTACATTATTTAATGGTGGTTGTGCTGCTGATAAAGCAGATGAATCATTTGTTGTTGTTGAATAAGATTTCGTATCATGTTCATTTTCATCTTCTTGTTCAACAATACAATCATAAATACGTTGTGCAAGTGATTCTTCAATTTCTAAAACAATATCAACACTTGGTTTATCACTCATTTCAATTGATATTTCTTGTAAAAGGTCGTTAATTATTGGCCAATATTCATTAGATAAATTTATTGTTGGAGGATCAAGCAAAAGTGTTGTTTCCGTTTCAATATTCATAGCTGATACTGGTTCTATTGATGGTGAGGGAAGTGAATTTTGTTCGATTTGATATGTTACATTTGAAATAGATTCTAATAAAGAAAAAAAAATGTTCATTTGTTTTAATTTTTCATGGTTATGATCAAATAAAAATTACCAGGTCGTGTAGATTTCTCAGTTATAGGTGGTAACATAGGTAATGGTGATCGAATAGGTTTAGATGATACTGGTGGTACTATTACTGTTTGAGTTGGTTGTCGTCGATGTTGTGAAGATGAATGAAAAAGTTCATTCAATGAAAGACGTGGCACTTGTAATGGTTTTGTTGGAGAAGAATGATGATGATGATGATGTTGATGTTCGTCTACATTTCGATCAGATGAAACAAGACATGTACAATGAGTTTCTTGATCAGTTCGAATTTGTTTTGTAGTTGATGGAGCATGAAATTCAAAACGAGGTCTTCCATCTCAATAAAAAAACAAACGAAACAGGTTTTAAATAATGAAATGATTAGGTTCTCTATGTTTTTACACTAACCACGTTTTTGTACATTCGTTATTGTATCACGATTTTTATATTGACGTTGAAAACGTTTCATAAATCGACTTGTATGTGATGTACGTTGTTTAGATGGATCATTTGATGGTTTTCGTCCATTAGAATATTTTCGTTTTATTATAACTGTTTCATTATTATTATTATTATTATTATTATTGTTATTATGATTTAATTTTGATGTATAAGTATCTTGATGTTGTTGTTGCCGATGTGTATGTGTAATTTGTATTGTTGAATTAATCGGACGTGATAATTGTGGATAATTATTAGATTTAATTACTGATTGACGTTGTTCTTCGAGGTAACGCTTAAATAATGTCGAATTAGCTCGATCAACATTTGGTAAAGATGATCGGGAACTATCCATTCTACAATGATAATTATATAAATTTCTGTGTCTTTTATATTTCGAAATATGAAACGGATTTCGAGACTAATCTTCTTCCGTCATTTTATAAAAGCAAACTTGGTTTAACAAATGTAAAAAAAAAAGTTATTCTCTATCGACGAGCGCTCAAGTGCTTGCATGAAAAAATAGAGTAACTCATGTGTTAAACTCATGAAAATCATATGAATGACCATTCTAGAAACGATTAATGTCAATAAATAACGAAAACTTTTCTGTTCAAGATGAAATAATAAAAATTTGACTTTTAGAATATTTGAATTCAGTTAATCATGAAAATTCTCTTCTAATTTTGCTATATACAGTTTTCATTTAATTAAAACGATGAGATTTTTTTTTGAAAACCGGGTCTTTTTGAGCATAGAACTAAACAAAAAACTGAAAAGAACACATTACCAATGTAGGTTCTCATCGCCATAACGAATACATTATCACAAGCTCGCGATACAGACAGACTTTTATTGTTACTATGCAAAACTTGTAATATTTGCAGACATTAGAAAAGGAAAACTGATCAGCGCAGTTCTTTTTAGACCTGAAACGTGGAACTCAAATGTCTTTTAGCCTCGTGTTACTTATACAAAATACGAGTAGTAAAAAATATCCAGCAGCCGATACTTGTGTTAACAAGAATAATTAATCACAAGAAAAATACATTTCGAACTTTCTTTTTTATTGATGCTCCAATTCGCTCGTTGTTTTTGTTTGTATTCCGTTTCTCTTAATTTTACATTATTATTCTAACGATTCATTGAACTGGAAGATAAGTCTGTTTTAGTTACCCAGTATATCAACAGCAAAACTCAATGCACTATCGTATATATTTGAATAAGATCACAAACACTGATATTAAGTAGTGTCCATTGATAACTTGATTATTTGACAACGATAGCAAATCAATGTATTCCTATCCATTATCGTTGACATCTTGAATATAAATTGTTATCTGCGCAAAAATCAGAAACTACACTATTTAGAATGCCTGCTAGCGTATTTCAACCATTCAAGTTTCAACAAAAGCTTTGAAATATTCTACAACAATCGAAGTCTTCTTGCTAATATCGCTCGAAGCTTTTTCTCATTTGCTAAGGTCGGTAAGGGAAAGGGTAACTGCAAAACTTATATTTCTCTAGCATCTAAGCATATTACATACGCTTGAGCAAAAGAAACACAAACACTTGGATGAGAATGCTACAAGAAATTCAAACATTTGAGCTCTTTAAAAGACATAAAATCTTATTTGATGCTATATTCATATCACATGACTGTCTTGTCTAGTATACTCAACAGAGACCGACAATGTTGTCCCATCTATCTCTGATACTCAAATATTTCATGTTGACTATAGTAGGCATCGGCGGAACCGCTTTTTTTGGTTCCGGTCCCGTATTCGGTTCTGGTTACATTTTTTTGTGATCTCGGTTCCAGTAAAAACTTTCTATTGCTTCTGGTCCTAATTATGTTTTCTAGAAAAAAAAAAGAATTCTCTAATAATCTGTATGATTCTTTGAATTCATATAAAATGAATGGTAATGGTTTGGAGAAATCAACAGTAGGAGAATACCTTTTTATGCATACATCAAAACTAAAGAAATACAACGCCACTTCTTTTGTTTACCTCAAAATTTCCTTGGTCCTGGCCATGTGGCTTAGAAAATTCTCTCAGAGCTCATAGTTCTTGGATAGATACAAAATCTAAATGAGTAAGTTTCGATGGATGTTGATTTAAGAGTCTCTTTGATAATATCAAAATTTAGGATCTGCAGAACTATAAGTATTATTTTTAGTAGGGACCTCTGCGATGGTTTTCGTTCAGGATCGAAAAAAAGTGCTTTTGCAGATCCATAATTTTATCTCAATCACAAACAAAAAAAGGGCTTATTTGTAGATTATTAGTTAGAACAGAATAATAAGTATGGAAATATGTATTGTAGTTCTTGAACAGAAAACATCACGGGACCAGATTTAGCCAGTTTTAAGTTCCGGCCCCGTAAAAATTAAAATTTGGTTCCAACGGGATCGGGACCAGTTTTCACACCCCCTAGTAGTGACTACAGTCATAACAATACATAAAACATCTTCTAGTAATTCTCATGAATAGTATTTAAACTAAAGAATTTTCTAAAAAGATTTTTCTCTATATACGAGTTGCTAATAAAAGACAAAATAGAATTTTGAAATGTACAAACATCAATTAATTTTTGTTTTTTGTCAAAGAACAAAAAAAGACGAAAGAAAATACAAACATAAACAGAATAGAAATATTAAACAGTCATAGGTACAGCTGCTTGATTATCATTCGATACCGATGTTTCTTCATTTTGTATTTGTTGTTCATTATTATCATTTTCCGTTAAATTTAAACTCATTAATCTTTCAACTTCTTGTGGTGCTGTAGCAGCTTCACGATTTGTATGTATACGTTGTGAAACCGCATCAAGATCCGATGAAAATCGATTAAGTGCATCACGAAGACGTTTTAATTCTGTTGAATCAATTGGTGTTTTTTGTGTTGATGATGATGATGAACTTGATAAACGATTAGATGCATTTGGATCAACTAATTCCATTGTTAATTCAGCTATACGTTTAAATGAACTACCAGCTTCAAGAAGAATATCGGCTGCTTTCGATGACATCGACATGATGTAAAACTCCCGAAAAAAAGAAAATTCTCAGAAATAAAAGAAAAAAAAACGCCTTTACACAAAGATGAATGTTCGTATTGGTATAAAATTTTATCCAATTGAAAACCTTAACTGAATATTCTTCCGACATCTATGCCGAATTGTAATCATTTGTTTCTAAATAGAAATCAACAAATAGTTGAATCATATAAAAGCAAAGCAATATATGTATAGATATATATATCAAGAAAAGTTTTCTTTTTGATATGTAAATTTTAGATTAAGAAATGTCTCCTTCAGCAACAACAACAACAACATCGAATAAATCGATCGGTGATGGACAAAGTCCTACTGAAAATGGTTTATCAACAGATAAAAATCAATCTGTAACAATATCTCCATTAAATAAAATTGAAAAAGTTGTTGTTCATCCACTTGTATTATTAAGTGTTGTCGATCATTTTAATCGTATGGGAAAAGTAGGAAATTCACAACGTGTTGTTGGAGTTTTACTTGGTTCATTCACAAATAAAATTCTTGATGTTTCAAATAGTTTTGCTTGTAAGAGAGATATTTAATTTAATATTTTCTTATTAAAAACATTTTTTTAGTACCATTTGATGAAGAAGAGAAAGAGAAAGAAGTTTGGTTTCTTGATCATGAATATCTTGAAAATATGTATACGATGTTTAGAAAAGTTAATGGTAAGAAAAGATTGAAAGGACAAAAAAAAATGCTATTTTAATTGAAATTTTTAGCTCGTGAACGTATTGTTGGTTGGTATCATACAGGTCCAAAATTACATCGTAATGATATATCAATTAATGAATTAATTCGAGAATATCAACCTGATTCAGTTCTTGTTATTGTTGATGCTAAACCAAAAGATTTAGGTTTACCTACAGAAGCTTATATTGCTGTGGAAGAAATTCATGATGTAAGAAAAGAAACAAAAATAATTTGTTTTTTTTTTTGGAAAGACTAGAGTATTATGTTTGTTTTTTATTTAATTAAGGATGGTAGTCCAGCTTCAAAAACATTCGAACATTTACCATCAGAAATTGGTGCTGAAGAAGCCGAAGAAGTTGGAGTTGAACATCTACTTCGGTAGGTTAAACAAAAATGAATTATCATTAAGATATAGCATTATTCAGAAAATGATCTATGATTTAAAATATACATTATTTAATTCTGTCATTGAGATTTTGTAAATATCCATTTAAGGATGTTCAGTTTGCAGCTCTTGTAAAAGCATGAACAGTAAAGACCTATGAAGTCAAACATTCTCTTAAATTTCAACTCTAAAAATTTTGCTTCTCGTAAATTAGCCATAGCTTACACGTTCAGAGATGTTATGTAATATTGAATCACATCTGGTTTAAGAGTATTGTGAGTAAATGCATAGATATTGTAATACAGAAAAGTAACACTTTTGAATATCCTTGTGTATCTAGATTACTTGGAATATCTGCCAAGATCTTGTCAGACGAAGAGATTCTAGCTCTAATAAGAGAAGAAGACAATTGTGTTAACTTAGTTCCATTAAAATAATTCACAAAATATACCTGAAGTTTTAAATAATTTCTACTATGCTTTGTTGCATATGAAAAAAGTACAGAAAGGTTTTTGGAGTTTCAAAAGTTTATATGAACTCTAATTCCGTCAGAGTTCAGAATCTAACGCAGGTCTCTAACAAACAGCCATGGATAATCGTAATCATCAAATAAAAGTCAAAATTATATTCAAACAGCTAGTTACTTCATATGAACTTATATGTCGATTTAGACATTTTGCCCAATAACTGATCATCTAAAAAAATCAGAAAACATTGTTAGATAACTATCTTCATTTTGAATACTGACTGACCTGAGATGTACTGATCTATTGTAGATCAGATATATGACCATTTTTAGATCTTTATTAGTTTGTAGTCCAAGTAATCAGAAGAGCAGGTAAACTGTTTGAATAAAAATCTGTTCTTTATTTGGTGATTATCAACGGATGGTCGTGGGTAATGGTATGATTTACAAGAACGCATCGTTTCGCAAAGTAATTTTGCAATAATTTATTATTGATAAACTCATTTCAATCCAATTTTTCATAGTCTCATAGTAAAACATCTGAATAACAATACAATGAATTGAATTCTTAAATGAGACAAAATGTTACATATGATATTGAAATGTGATCAATAATTAAATTATGTAAAATTGATTTCGATAGTATTAATAAGAAACAATTAGGATACATATGACAAAATCAAGTTAAAGAGAATGATATCATCTTTATATTTTGATAAGAAAATTCGATAAAAAAAACCAGGCAGATATTTCCTTTGAAAACTTGATATATAATATCTATCTCTAAATCGATTAAATAACTTTCATAGGAACAAACATATTACTAGAGTATGTTTCTTTCATGAATCATTAGATCTAGGTAATTCCATGATATATGTGACACATTTACATCGATTTTCACCTTTCAAATCATGTAGAGCATAGTCGATTTATTTGCTATGTGATGACAAAAGATCTGCTATAAATGCTTATATTGAAGAAATCAATGATTCGAAACATCATAACAAAATATAGTTAATATCATATAATAGCTGTAAAAAAAGGCTAGGGTGTCCTCCAGCATTCATCTATAGATACGCCTGCAAAGTGTTATAAATACATATACAAATCGGACTTCGCTTTACAAACACATCTATTCATTATGTACCCAAATTCTGTGTTAGCGATATACGGAGATCAACATTCTAAGCTCTTTTGCAGCGTTTTTTTTTCATAGTATTAACTATATTTTGCTTTAATTTTGTGAATCACTGATCTCTTGACTATAAGAATTTATAGCGGATTGTTTGCTCTCATAGTATGTAAATCGATTATGCTCTACATGACTTGAAACATGAAAATCGATGTAAATGTGTCAAATATACCGTGGAATCATCCATCTATTGAAATAGCACAATTGTTCTCCTTGAAATTTTTCATTGAATTATATATTGATCATATAAGTTTGATAGTTTTCTTTCGATTGATTTTTAGCTCAATCGAAACTAGACAACATATTACATAAGAAAATTTGTTTTTTCATTATAATTTTATTGTCAATATTTAATTTTAGTGATATTCGTAATGCTACAGTTGGTACACTTTCTCAACGTATAACAAATCAATTAATGGGTCTTAAAGGTTTAACAAAAAGTTTATATGATATACGTGCTTATCTTGATAAATTATTAGCAAATAAATTACCATTAAATCATCAAATTTTATCACATATACAAGATATATTTAATTTATTACCAGATGTAACACAACAAGATTTAATAAAATCAATTTATGTTAAAACAAATGATGAAATGTTACTTGTTTATCTTTCATCATTAATTCGTTCAATAATAGCTTTACATAATTTAATTATGAATAAAATTCAAAATTCTGATGCTGAAAAAGCCGACAATACAACATCAAATACAAATTCATCAACAACAGCAACAACAGCAAGTGTTGATAAAAAAACAGAAAAAGGAAGTGGTGATAAACCAGCAACAAATAACAATTCTAGTTAAAAAAGAAACATTTATTATTATTATTTTTTTCTTCTTGTTGTTCTTTTATGTTTGTTCATTTTTTTTTTGATTTCAATAAATTCGAACTCAAAAGAGTCATAAAAAACGTACTCAAAGGTTATATAACTTACGAACAAAATAAGAAAAACTAGTCAACCGTTAAAAAAAAATGTTTGTTTCTTTTTTTCATATTCTAGAGAAACAAAAAGAAATCATAGGGAACAAGACTAAATATGCAATTACGTATTCTTACACTTAATATCTGGGGTGTTCATTATATTTCGAAATTTATTAATCAACGTATTCAAGCATTAATTGAACATTTAATAAATCCTGATACGAATTATGATATTGTCGGACTACAAGAAGTAAAAAAAAAAAAGAAATGCTAAACTAAGGAATTGATTTTTTTTTATTATGTATAGGTTTGGAGTAAAGTAGATTATATTTATTTGCGTGATCAATTAAAAACTCTATATCCATATAGTTATTATTTTTTGAGTGGTCTTATTGGTTCCGGATGTTGTATTTTTTCCAAATATCCAATTATTGGTGCTTATGAACATCGATATACATTAAATGGTATGTACAGTCCTTAACAGAAGTATCTGTCTCTCTCTAGGAAGTGCTACTATTCTTTACAATCTTGAGTTGATATTTTGGATGCATTCGTGCGACAATATAATCTCATTGCAAACATTAAATCACCTTCTATGATTCACATGTACTGAAGTTATAATTCAGACATTAATCTCGTACTCTTGTAATCACCTTATACCAATCAAATATTTTCGTCGAATCTCTTATTTGAAAAACCACTGATGTATTATCTTATCATTAAGAATGTCTATTAAAAATCAAATGCTAGTTTTTTAGTAATATGAATCTTTTCTGCGGTAACTTTGATCGATTCATTTGTAAATTGTCATGAGACTACAAGTTTTTTCTAAAATGTTTAGAGCCACAGAACTGAATGAAGTCGAGTTAACGTTACGGCATGAGCTTGCTCTCGTACGTAGTGCTAATTACCAAGATCTTGACTATGTGCCAAGAGCTTTGATGATAATAAAGTAAACATATGGGGCTACTTTTAACGCTAGGAAAAAGAAACCGTAATAACTTATGAAATAGCAGAAGGATAAACAATTAGTTTTTGAGCGTATATTTCCGCTTAATATGGTTTCCATAAGGAAAAAACGATATCGGTATGATAACTTCAGTAAATATGAAACGGGGAGGAGGGGGGAAGTTGACGCATTGAGATCAAGGTTTATTGTAGCACGCATGCATCCGAAATATCAATTCAATTCATGGGTGGCAACTGCTTTTGCTCAGAGCTGTAGAATAAACAGTAGTTTTGTTGGAAGATATAAGAAAATAGTTCTACGAAAATAAAATTTCTTGTTCTTTTTTCTTTTCTATTAGTTGAAAT